TATATATATATATATATATATGCAAATAGCAATGTTATTTTTAATTTTGAACCCTTTGAATTTTATCTATGACTTATTAACTCCTAACTTCTATGCATCTAGATGCTAGAGACTAAATGACTATGGACTTTCATAAGTTTAAAATTAATCATAATTGAGTTGATCTGTAGAACGTCAATCACCTAGAACTGATTCACTTATAACCAAACCATAATTCGAGTTCGGTAATTCAACCATATACATTAAGATATAAGTAATGATTATTCACATGAAGATAAACAATAAAAACTGATTTAGATTAATAGAAATAAAAGATAATATGAAAGTACTATATAAGGATGAAAGTAGATAAGAATAATCAGATTTTTACACATAATCTCATTTTATGCTCCGGATATTAGATTGCCTTAGGTTACATATTAAAACAAATTCATATATTTTGATAATGAAAAGAATAAATGTAATTCGATTTATGGTGCAAATAACCTCAAAGATCATTATTGTTGTCTTATTCCTGCTTTACAAATAACCTCAATTTGATCCGAGTGTCTTCTATTCTTTTTCATGCTCATTCTTTAGCAAGATTTTTTTTGTGGAGGTACCCAATTGTAAGACAATTTCAATAGGGGAGTTGTAATTTTTTCTATTCTTTAGCAAGATTTTTTTGTGGAGGTACCAATTGGATGACAATTTCAATAGGGGAGTTGTAATTTTTTCTGTTCCAACTCTCTTTGTTATTAACAAGTCCAATAGAGTTGGCGGATTACCGAAAGACTTTAATGATACCATGTGAATATAAGGTTGGAATTCTTACTAACGATCACATTTACTACATTGTTGAACGCAACTAGGATGTCTTAAATCTCATTGCGTGTGCGCAACCTTCTCTTCCTCTGTCTTTTGTGTTTATTTTCTTGAAAACTTATTTTTTAGTTATAAAAAAGACAACAACAAAAAAAGGAACAAAGATTGTCAAGTTTTGAATTGGGTAGGCGACGAAAAGATGATTAGGAAAATTATGTAATCAAACAATTAAGTCAACCAGAACAAGATTATCAAGTCATGAATTAGTCAAGACAAATAAAATGACCAATCTACTAATCAATTAACAAAAATAAAAATGCAAGTAAAATTCAAACCCAATTCATTAAAGAAACAAATAGAACAAATCAAACATCCACTTTTTGATCCTTGGTTATACATGGGCCAATGGCCCAACCAAGGGAATAGGGCCTATTGGTGAAGACCAAAAATAAAAAAACAACCAAAGCCGCAATTAAATTAATTTAAATTAAAAAAAGCACAGTCCAACGTTGACGCTGAAACTCAGTCCCACAATTCCACGCTGTAAACCTAAGCATGTGTCGGCTCCCTCTCTCCAAGCACCTTCAAAATCACGTTCCCTTTCCATTCTCTCGCGCCACGCGTCACTCTCTCCGAACCCTCCCTTTCACGGATCCACGTGTCTCCCCAAGGCCGAATCACCTCTTGACGCGTGTCCCCTCCCTCCACTCCCTATAAATACCTCAACCCCACGTCCCGTTAACCCAAACAAAAACAATAATCATCCAAACACAAAACTCCAACACAAACCTTTCCATGATCCGAAACACAAACGGGTCGGGTCGCCGGATACTAACCTCCCCGGCGATTCTTCCATGCGAAAACATCGCTCTCTCTACTCTTCTCTCTTCACTCATCGCTCTCTCCGACGCCGTTTCCACTTTCCAACGCAAGTCCTTCCCTTGCAACAACCGGAACGCGAGAAACGCGATTCGTTTGACTCTCCTTCTCCAACCTTTTCTACATGAGATCCGAGACAACAATTCGGGTCTATCCGACCCGGCTACCCTCAGCTTGTCGGAGCTCCATTTCACCTTCCAGAAGCTTCTCTTCCTCCTGGAAGACCTCGCCCGCGAAGGGGCCAAGCTTTATCTCTTGATGGAATCGGATCGGGTCGCTTCTCAGTTTCGGGTCATATCCAGATCCGTGGCCACTTCTTTGGACGTGTTCCCTTTCGGGTCTGTGGATATCTCTGATGAAACTAAAGAGCATGTTTTGCTGCTGAATGAACAAGCAAGGAGGGCAAGGTTTGAATTTGAGGAAGAAGATAAACGGGTTGTGATGAGTGTGGTGTCGGGTTTGACCCGGTTTGAGAACCGGGTTGCCCCGGATGAGGGTGAGTTGAAGTGGGTTCTTGAGTATATTGGGGTTAGAGGGTGGAGTGAGTGTAACAAAGAGGTGAAGTTTTTGGAGGGTGAGATTGGGTTTGAGAGCTTGAACGAGGAGAAGAGAAAAGTGGGGTTTTTAAGTAGTTTGATGGGGTTCATGAGTTATTGTAGATGTGTGGTGATGGAGGTTGTTGATTGTGAAGAAAGTAAGAGAAAAAATGATGCAAGTGAGAAAAGTCCGAGTTTTTGTTTTGTTAACTCGGATGATTTTCGATGTCCAATCTCTTTGGAGTTGATGAGTGATCCTGTGACAATAGAGACAGGTCATAGTTATGATCGTTCATCGATTCTGAAGTGGTTTAGAAGTGGAAATGCCACGTGTCCAAAGACGGGTAGAAGGCTTAATAGCACTGAGTTGGTTCCTAACTTGGTGCTTCGAAGGTTGATTCAGCAATATTGCTATGCGAATGGCATAGACACAAGCATTCCCATTGTTAGGAATCGTGATATCACTAGGACAATGGAGCCTGGGAGTGTGGCAGCAGAAGGAGCAATGAGAATGTTGGCTAGTTTTCTGAAAGAAAGAATTGAGAATGGAAGTGGGGAAGAGAAGAACAGAAGTGCATTTGAGATAAGGCTTCTTTCCAAGGCAAGCATTTTTAGTAGGTCTTGTTTGGTGGAAGCAGGTTTGGTTCCTCTTTTGTTGAAGTTGTTGTCATTAAAGGATTCTTTGACTCAAGAGAATGCTGCTGCAGCACTTCTAAACCTCTCAAAATGTGCAAAGAGTAGGAGCATGATGGTTGAGAAATGGGGTTTGGAATTGATTGTTGGTGTGTTAAAAGATGGTGTGAAGATTGAAGCCCGCCAACATGCTGCTGCTGTGTTGTTTTACCTTGCTTCAAGTGCCGAATATGGGAACTTGATAGGGTTGGAGCCAGAAGCAATTCCATCATTGATAAGGCTAGTCAAAGGTGGCTCTGACCGAAGCAAGAAAAACGGTCTGGTTGCAATTTTCGGCCTCCTTAAGCACCCTAAGAACCACACAAGGGTGCTTCAAAGTGGTGTAGTTCCTTTGCTAGTTGAGATCCTAAAAGAGTGTGAAAAGGAAGACATAATCACTGACTCATTGGCCATTCTAGCAACTCTGGCAGAGAAAAGCAGTGAGGGTGTATCAACAATCCTTCATTGTGGGGCTATGCATGTAGGTGTTGAGATTTTGAGTTGTTCCACTTCAAGGTTGGGGAAGGAGCACTGTGTGGCATTGTTGCTTTCTTTGGCAATAAATGGTGGAGAAGATGTTGTTGCTTGTTTAGTGAAAAACGCTTCTCTTATGGGATCATTGTATTCTCAACTCAGTGAAGGAACATCTCGAGCAAGCAAGAAAGCAAGTGCTCTCATAAGGGTCCTCCATGATTTTTATGAAAGGAGGTCCTCTGGATTCAAGGCTTCAGTTATTCCACAAGAACAGTTCATTCATGTTTGGTAACTCACCCAGTATTTTTTGTTAACCTGGGTATTCTTTAATTTGTAGATATTGTTGTATAAATGTGCTTTGTTTTTTGTACTCATGCTATTAGCTCACGTTTTAAAGAGCTAATGAGTTTATCAGCTTCTGTTTTTAATGAAGCTTGTACAAATTATTGTAATTCATTTCTTTGTATTAATTGAATAAGATTGTATCATGTCAATTAATCAGGAATAATATTCAGATTTGCCTCCTCTTTTATTGTCTCCAAGACTAAAATTTTAAGCTCACCTCTTTCTATGCCTGGGCCATGTAACTTGTTGTATAGATGCCTTTCACTTGCATGGACTGATTCAGACAAAGCTGGTTTTGCGATACATTTGGTTTAGGAAAAAAGTGTGAAAAATGAAATGATTTTTTTTTTACTGTTTTTGGTAAAAGGAAAAGTGAAAGAAAATAGAATTCTTTTCTTTTCTGTTGTTTGGTAGTGTAGAAAATAAAAAGAAGAAATAAATATAAAATGATAAAAAAATTTAAAAAAAAAACATAAAAGAATAAAATGGATTGAATATGTGAATATGGATTTGCAGATTAATTGGACTAACTTATGACAACAATAATAATTTAGAAGAATAATACCTCTTTTAATTGTACAAAGTTCATTCAGTATAATTTTTCTTTTTAATTGATAAAATAAAAGGCATCAATGTTTCTTTACCCATGTTTTAAAATTTTCTTTTTAATATCTATCTTTTTAAATCAAAAAATAGAAAAAGAATACGAAAACAAGACAATAGTTAATAATGCCACTGTACATATATAAAATAAAAAAAATCTGTAATAATTTATGACTTTGTAAACAAATAAAGATTTTAAGTGGCACTAAAAATTTCTCGATTGATATATTGTTGAAAATCATCAATTAAAAAAAAATGTTATGAACTAAAATGTGAGAAAAAATTATCAATTATATTAATTTTATGATTCATTCATCTGTCTTAATTACTCAAACAAAATTTCGTGACTTCGTAAGTCATATAAAGAAATCAAATTAAAGTTAGATACACAACTATAGGATGTTTACAAAAGAATAAGTTATTTGCAAATTCTTTTAAAATTTAATAATTAATAATTAAATTATGATTTAGAAATTGTACTGTGCATTGCACGGTATTAAAACTAGTACAATTGGAGCATTTAAAATCTTAGTATAAAAAGTTACACTTTCCTTATCTTCCCGTCCAATGTTAGATGGAATAGAAAACGCATGTGGGATCCATTTTCAAACTTGTATTCCTTCCTTTGTCAAACTATACCAAGTAATTTGATTTCTTCTTTTTACAGAATACATATATCATGTTCAACCACAAATTTCTCCCTTAAGTATTATATATATATATATATAAATAGTCACTAATATAGAAAATTACAAGTATTTATTTTAGTCTTTGATTTCACTGTGTACCAATTAACTTGATATTTAACATTAGGAATTAAGTTCACTAAATGGTTATTAGTGAATATTAAAATTGTAAGATTAGGTTCAATTAATGTACACATACATTTTGTGAATATTAAGATTAGGGTTTAAACTTCATATTGTACTTGGTGTGCATCTCCTACAAATCATTAACAATAAGCATGTGTCTTGGTTCTTCTTCCACCTGCGACCACCTCCTCCTTCCCCTTCTCTTCTTGCTCTCGTGTCTCTTCCACACCTTTCGATATTTTATTAACAAATCCAATAATCATTTCACTTGTCTACCATAAACCATATAATAAGAAAGATCTAAGATATTCGATGCCGTGTACCTTCATATGTTTTAAAGTCAGATGACAAAATTAGATTCAGGTGTTAATTAAGAAACACAAATATCAATAAGTGTTGAAGCATTCGAAGTAACAATTTTTACTATGTAACTACCTTTTTAAATTGATATTCATCTGACTTAAATAATTTTCACTCTCTTTACCGGTGGTTGAGTTAAATTTTTAGTAAAATATAATATTAAAATTGTAATCAAGTCATGGTAAATTTACTTTACCACTAAATCATTTAAATGATTTAATTATTGTACATGTCTCATAAACATAATATATATATATATATATAATTTAATTAAATTATATTTAACTATATTTATTTATACTTATTCATTCAATTCAATTAATGATTAATCAGTTTAATATGTGACCTACTAATCTAATATTCCTGTCAAATCAATTACCAATCCAAGTTTTAAAATTATGTTATTAATAATATATTAATAATTTCTAACTAAATTAAAGTTGTGTACAACTTTATAAAAATTTAAATCATAATTTTAAAAATTGGACCGAATTGGTTAGTTAGACCAGTTCATCTGAAAATCAATCTTAAATTAATTAAATTGACCCAAAGAACAGTAATTAAATTGATTAAAAAAAATTGGTAAAATTGGTTCAGTACCATTCAAAAACAGTTAAATTAGTAAAAAAAAAAGTTGATCAAACTAGTTTGAACTAGTCTAGTTAATCATTTTTTTTTTTAATTTTTGAAAGTTAATTAAAACATTTTAAATAAAATAATATTTAATAAAAACTATAAGTTAGAATAACTTATTTTTAATACTTGTTTCATAAATATAATTTAATTATTTATGTTAATTTAAAATTTTTAATATCGTTATTTTTATAGTTTATATTATATTAATTTGATATTTTGTATTCTATATATAAACTTATTATTATTAATAGATATTAATTTTTATTAAAATTAAAATTTAAATATTGTATTATATTATATTATATAGCTTAAAATTTTACATATAGGAATTTATAAATAATATTTTATATTAGTTTAAAAATAATATTATATTTATTTAATATTAACTTTGTATTGATAATATTAATTATTATTATTATATTTATACTGATTTAATCATGATTGAATCTTATCTAGACAAGTTTAATTATGTATCAAATTTTTAACAACATTGTTCTAAACTTTAGGGGGGAGGAACACTGGGCTGTAATATACAAATCTTTAGCAAAGTTTTGTTCGAAAATCCGAAGAACAATAAGAAATAAGTAAAATTTTAGTGTGAACTTGTCAATATAGTTTGTTAATAAAAGGAAAAACACTCTTTTATCGATAGTAATTCCAACTAGGACCTTTCGAAAAGGAATTTAAATATTTAAGATCATAAATTTCATATTTCACTGTAATCCTTTAGAACTTTTTGAAAAAAAATTTACATATATAAGCTCATTAAATTTCATATTTTACTGTAATCCTTTAGACCTTTCCATTAGTAAAATATAATATTAAAATTGTAATCAAGTCATGGTAAATTTACTTTACCACTAAATCATTTAAATGATTTAATTATTGTACATGTCTCATAAACATAATATATATATATATATATAATTTAATTAAATTATATTTAACTATATTTATTTATACTTATTCATTCAATTCAATTAATGATTAATCAGTTTAATATGTGACCTACTAATCTAATATTCCTGTCAAATCAATTACCAATCCAAGTTTTAAAATTATGTTATTAATAATATATTAATAATTTCTAACTAAATTAAAGTTGTGTACAACTTTATAAAAATTTAAATCATAATTTTAAAAATTGGACCGAATTGGTTAGTTAGACCAGTTCATCTGAAAATCAATCTTAAATTAATTAAATTGACCCAAAGAACAGTAATTAAATTGATTAAAAAAAATTGGTAAAATTGGTTCAGTACCATTCAAAAACAGTTAAATTAGTAAAAAAAAAAGTTGATCAAACTAGTTTGAACTAGTCTAGTTAATCATTTTTTTTTTTAATTTTTGAAAGTTAATTAAAACATTTTAAATAAAATAATATTTAATAAAAACTATAAGTTAGAATAACTTATTTTTAATACTTGTTTCATAAATATAATTTAATTATTTATGTTAATTTAAAATTTTTAATATCGTTATTTTTATAGTTTATATTATATTAATTTGATATTTTGTATTCTATATATAAACTTATTATTATTAATAGATATTAATTTTTATTAAAATTAAAATTTAAATATTGTATTATATTATATTATATAGCTTAAAATTTTACATATAGGAATTTATAAATAATATTTTATATTAGTTTAAAAATAATATTATATTTATTTAATATTAACTTTGTATTGATAATATTAATTATTATTATTATATTTATACTGATTTAATCATGATTGAATCTTATCTAGACAAGTTTAATTATGTATCAAATTTTTAACAACATTGTTCTAAACTTTAGGGGGGAGGAACACTGGGCTGTAATATACAAATCTTTAGCAAAGTTTTGTTCGAAAATCCGAAGAACAATAAGAAATAAGTAAAATTTTAGTGTGAACTTGTCAATATAGTTTGTTAATAAAAGGAAAAACACTCTTTTATCGATAGTAATTCCAACTAGGACCTTTCGAAAAGGAATTTAAATATTTAAGATCATAAATTTCATATTTCACTGTAATCCTTTAGAACTTTTTGAAAAAAAATTTACATATATAAGCTCATTAAATTTCATATTTTACTGTAATCCTTTAGACCTTTCCAAGAATTAATGTATGAGAATTATATGCAAAACCAGCCCAAATATTCCGAATGAACCGACCCAATTAATCACAAGACAAGAATAACAATTAAAAGGTTGTTTTTATTGGCAAATATATTTCTTGTTTCCAAAGAAATTAAAGAAACTGGAGTCCTGTATAGTCATTAAAAAAACTCAAGTTCTAAATTATTCACATGACAAAAACTGCCACCGAATTCTCATGGATAAGAAAACGGGGATATCAGGATAACTACTTGAATGTAAAAGCAATACAGACTGAAAAATTACATTCAACCGTTTATGATTATGCAGCCATTTTACAATTTTGGGTAAAGACATGTCCACGGTCATGTTAAAATTCAATACAGCAGCAAAGAGAAAGAAGAACATACAATTAAAAAATTCATGATTTTGACCTCAAAGCTAGCCCTGTCTCTACCTTCTTTATTTCAAAGATAAGCATCCTCCACATTTTCAGAACGAACATTTCAGCCTCTTCATCCAAAATGATCTGAAGACGCTCAAGCATTTGAGATGCTTTCACATGTTCTTGTGTACTGGAAACAATATAGTCTATCAATGTGCTTTCTTCTTCTCCCAAAAACTCTTTGATTTTCTTTGAAATCCACGGTCTCATTCTTTCATGTAATTGATGCTGAAAAAGAACAAAATATAAAACCAAATATATACAACATAAACAACACTTTAAACTTTTCACACAAACTCAAATGATCAAAAACATGTACAAACAAAATCATTTTAAACATAAAAATTTAATGTGCAAGAGCTGTTCCACTCAACTGGGCATGAGAGATGCAATCATCTTCAAAAAAACAACGCTGTTCTTGATGAATAAAATTTCAAAATATAGTTAAATAGGAGAAGGTTCCTATCTGGTATCCATTCATTTTCATTATTTTTAAGTTTCTAAAATACCAAAATATATAAAACAAACTAAAAGTGTTTTCCCTTTCCGACCATTTGCGGGAAGTTCATTCATAAATATCTCTAGACTCCTCAAATTTCCATTGTTTTCTAGGCTCCTAGGACAGTTCCCACCACAAGCTACTCGAAATGCTTCAACATTTATATCAACAACCTTACAAAATTACATTAATGACCCCAAAAAAGTGATTAAGGTATACCATTCTGGCTCAAGCTAAATGAAATATAGATTAGCCTACTCTTTTTTGATTAGTCAGTCAAATAATAAAATTAAAATCTGCAGATTAGGATCATATACCTTGTCATAAACTGCCCAGTCTATCTCATATGAGAACAACTCCTCCTTGGTCTTTGGTATCATATCGATCAATTGTTTTGCATCCAAAAGCCTCTTGTTATCCGAAGTCTTAAGTTTCTCCGATCCATGATCTCGATCCCTGTCACGATCAGGAATTCTCTCCTTGTTTTCATCTCTGTTGTGAGTACTATCTTCATCACTCCTGTCCCTGTCCCGGTGGTTAGACTTTTCATTTGAACGCCTACTTCTATCCCGTTCTCCATCTACCTTCTCTTCCTTGAAATTTGTACTGGATATGCGCTTTGCAAATTCTGCAGCTGCAACCAAATTTGGTGGTGTTGGACCAGAAACTGTAGGTTGAACAGCCTGCAATTCTTCAGTTGAGTAATCAATTGGAACCAATGGCCTCATTTTTTTGTCCTTGTGTGCTTCATCATCCTCCTCTTCATGGAAAACAGAAGGAACAGTTGTTCTTTTTCCTGAACCAACTAGACCAAACCCCAATTTCTTTGTAGGAGCATTCCCAATTGACTGTGTATCAGTTGGAGCAACAGATGCTATGGTTGAGTCATCATTGATGACATTTAGTGAATGACCATCACCTGTCATTGTAAAGTATTACTAACTTTAATAATATGGAGAGAGAGAAAAGCACAAATTATGAATAATTATAAAATATAAAATTTACCAATATGATCTTCACGACTATTATAATCAGCCATAGTATCTTGTTCAGCAACAATGCTTCTGACCTCATCAGTAATCTTTTCAGTAGCCATATTTTCATTAACACCATTTACAACATGCTCAGCTAATAGCTTTAATGCATCTCTTTGCTGCTTCTGTTCCTCCTCAGCCTTTTTCTTGGCTTCAGCAATTTCTTCCTCTTCTTTTTGTCTGTCAGCTAGGTCATCTTCCTTCTCACGCAGCCTCTTCTTTCTCTTATCCTCTAGCACACTTCTGCGCCACCTCTTCCTAGAATCCTCATCCTCATCCTCTTCATCATAAAGTATTTCCTTTCTCCTTTTACGCTCCCTTTCCTTCTCCTTCTCTTTTTCATACAGGCGTTCTTTCTCTTTCTCTCTTTCTCTATACTCCCAATCCTTCAAATATGCTTCATACTGACGCTCAGCCTCCTCAATCCTTCGTCTTTGTTCCCTCTCTTTCCGAATGCGTTCCCGCTCTGCTTCTCTTTCATATCTTTCAAGTTCCCTTTCCTTTTCTCGTTTATGTTCCCTATCTCGGTCCCTCTCTCTGCTTTTCCTATCATGCCTCCTATCAGGGCTTTCAGGCCTATTGTGTTCACTGGTTGGTTTGTTATCATTGTTTGTCTCTTTATCATTTTTATTTTCAGCTGATTCTACACAATTTGAAAAGAAAAGTTTCTGAATAATAAATTTAGAAATAAAAGAGATAAAGGTATCCTGATGATAAAATATAGCTCTGTTGTGAGTCACTCAACAGAGAATAGATACAGCAATTGATGTGTCTTTTTCCCTTACCATTCTTCTCTGTATCCATAACAGAGTCTCCATCTCTTGTTTTAACAGGTTGTTCTGAAGTTAAATTCACAGAACCATCACCAGTTGGTTGTGCAGGTGGTGGTGGTGGCAAAGGTCTTGTCTTCACCCTTTCCTCTATCATCTTTGTGATCTTTTCTAAAGCCTCACGATCAGCTTCTCTATCTTCATCAGTGACAATCCCAAAGTTTGCCACATCACGGGATTCCTTGTTTGTTGATTCATCAGCTTTATTTGAGGGTTCTGTGTCAGCCTTTGCATCCTCATTCGCATTAGAAGGTTGTGCACCTTCATCATCTTTTCCAACTACTTCTGCCTGAGTTTCTTTGTTCTTCAAGTTCTCAGTTTTCTTCTGAACAACATACCGCTCCAGATGTTCTTTCAAAGCTTGATTGACATTGACCTGTTAAAAAATATGTAGTATAAATGGCTATGATCCTTAGATATACAACAAGTGAAAAAATGTATCATGTCATCATGAGTTTTAGTATAACAATTATGTGTCTTGTTCAAAGAATTTTTATAAACTTCTTACTAGAAAAATGCAAATGCATTAGTACATTCAATTATAGAGTTCAACATTCATGGCATGAACCAAACAGTTACATCGACATAACCAATATACTAACTCCACATAGAATTAAAGGAGAAAAGTGTGAGCTTTAAAAATTAACTTAATGCAACCAAATTATTTTTGAAAACTCCAATTAATAATTATGGCTAAGAAACCTTTCCTTCCTCACTCTAAGCTAGATCCCAAACATTTGGGAGAAAGTAAATATTTTATAGTATTAGATTTATCCAACTGTTTAAGATCCCCGTAAACATTAAAGTGAAATATAATGTTGATACCTTCAATCTCATAGTAATATAGAAAAGGAAAAGACATAAATGCAACATTACATAAAGTACAAAGAAAAAGCAATCAAAGATGAGGACATACCTTTAGTTCTTGCCCATCGATATTCAATTTATTAAGAAGACGCAAGGCACGGAGAACCGCTTCAGCAGACTCAAATTCATAAAACCCAAAACTTGTAGGAGTCCCAGTTGATAAATCCTGAGGACGTTTCCAGGTCTTGATAGTTCCACATAACTTTAAAAATAATAATAAAATCAGTATATTTATAATTATACCCAAAGATTCTAAGACACTCATTGTCTAGTACCTAAAAAGGCTGGAAAGAGATTACTGGAGAAAATGTCCTTCTAAAAGTTTCTTTGAAAAATAAAACGCAAAAACCACAAAAAAAAAAAAAAAAAGTTGATTAGGCTCTATTGGATATACTTATTAATAAGCACTTATAAGAGAAGAAAATAAGGTAAAATGAAATAAGTTTCTCCCATAAGTTAAAAATTAACATATGCATAAACTAAGATCAGCTTTTGGAGAAGCTAAATTAGAGTTTCTTTAAATTAATTCATGCATAAGCTAATTTTAACTTATGGGAGAAGCATATTTTTTTACCTCTTATTTTGGCCCTATTTGGATAATCTTCTCCATTAGCACATACAAGAGAAGAAAATAAGCTTGTTGGAGAAACTAAAGGCCTTTCTTCTCCTAAAAGTGTTCATCTTAAGTTTAATACCAGGTTCCAAACAGGTCTTAGTGGCTTAATGATTTTCCCAAAGCCGATAGTAGCTTCTGAGAAAGCTCTAAAAAAATGTTGCATCATGGAATCACTAGCCCTAAATAACTAAACCATGCTCCAACCACAAGAGGAAAGAACAAATTCAAAAATTTACTTGAAGGAGAGACAGCATGAACTCATTTTCCACAGTTGGTGCAATCTTGCCAATGTAAACTGTGTTCTGAGACTTCTCGGCTTGAGTAACACTAGGGGTTACCATAGGTCTGACAACAGGAGGAATAATCGGGCGAACTGCAGGGATCCCTGCAACAGGTGGGCGTGATACTGGAGGTATGTTAACTACTCCAGGAGGACGTGGAGGAAATACAGGACGAACCATAGTTCCATAAGGAGGGGGATAACGGGGAATTCCTGTACAGAGTAGAAAAACATCTATGCCAATATATTAGAGCAGATCACAATTGAATATGTAAGCACCATAAACAAATCAATACAACACTATAGATATGTCAGAAAAAAATGTGACAAGAACAATGGAATGCTGTTACCACACATCAAAAGCATAACAGAGATGGCAGCACAGCCAACAATCACCAGCTGAAATGAGAACCTGAAGAAAACAATAACAAATGCTATCCAGTTTGAAATTCACGGATGTGTTAAAAGTGCTTACCTTTGTCTGACCACTTGCAACATAGCAGGCTTCTCAAACTATCCCATCCACCAATTGCAAATAGTAACTTGTGTAATCTTAGGTATGTATGGTTTAATAAGAAGTAATTCTAGTTGAATTATATAAGTTCTTTGTTTATACAACAGCATACGGTGCAGCATAAAAAATTAAATGAAACTGTGATAGAGAGAAAAGATTGCAATACCTCACGACACAAGGCCAACGTGCATTCAGTTGCAAACATTGTCGGCTTCTGGAATTCATAAAGCCATGGAAGGGAAAGTACTCTTATAACTAGCAGAAAGTGGCCTACTAAAATGAGCACGACACAACCATGCATTATTTAGATCGACAAAAGAACAATCACTCTTTCATTTCAGCATCGCTCCACATGAGCGACATTTCGAATTCCAGTAAAAGACAAGACAAGCTAGAAACCAGGCAAATATGTGCATACCAAAAAATGAGTTGTAGAGAGGTGTCTTTAAGCAATAGGAAGAAGCCCTCCAACCTTTCTCAATGAATTCAATCAAGACACTGTAGTAGGAGAAAACACCCCGTCATCGATACCCCTTATCTAACCATTAAGAACTCTCTAAACCTCTCCCAACAACCCACTCTTCCTAAACAAACACTCTCCCCCTTAATAACAATCAACTCTATAATTGTCTTCTTTAGTGCCACCACATTTCACATCTAACCATCGCGCAATAGTAAAGAAACACACTGATAAGTCATAACTATAACTCCGAAGTCATAAAACATTGAAGCAACCAACAACGAAAGCGTAAAACTAAATTCAATGCACATAAACACAAACAATCAAAATAACGAATGGTTCAAAAACCCACCCGCGGGAAGCACGGTCCCTTGCGGAGCTGCGGCGTAACCGTTCGGGATCGGAGCGAAGGGCCGCAGGTTTCCAGGCTGGACCTGGTACGGCATCATCGGCTGCATCTGCGGCACCGGCGCGGCGGCGCCGGCCACGCCGGGCGGTGGAACGGCGGGGTTTTGGTAGGGCGGGTTGGGCGCGGCGACGGGGGAGAATTGCGGAGCGAGGGGGCGGAATGAGGGAGGGAGGACGCCGGGGAGCTGCGGCGGGGTTCCCGCCGGGAAGAGAAGCGTGGGCGGCGGAGGGAGCAAGGTAGGGTTGGAATTAGGGTTTGCGGCGGATGGTGGCGGTGTGGATTGGGGAAGTGGATCGGGTTGGTTGGGAGGTGCGGATTCGGAGGGTGGTTGGGTTGCGGGAGAAGAGGCGGAATCCGCCATTGAAGAAGGGGTTTGGGAATTTGTGTTTTGTGTCTGAGACAGTGAAAAATTGATGTGTGAGTGTGAGTGCGTTGCCCTAGCCTAGATATATGATGCAATGCACAACACACCCTCCCTTGCTTCGCTCCACGTAAGATTTGAGGGGCGAGTTGTAAAAAAGGTTAAAATTAAATAAATTAAAATAAACTAAGACTTCACTATTTTATAAATAGTTGTCTTTTAAATCATGATTTTATAAATGGGGAAATGAAGTCGTGTTTTCAATCTCGATTTCCATTTTTTTTTAAATTAAAATTATTAAATATTACTTTACTTTTTCATTAAAAAAATTAATTAAATAAATAAAAAATAAGCAAAGTCATGTCTTAAGAAGACGACTATTTACAAAAGTCGTATTATTAAACATGATTTTTTTTAATTTTAAAAAATATCTTAAAATTAGAAATAAAGAAGTCATGCTTTCAAACATAATTTTTACATTAAATTTCATATATAATGAAGATAATTTATCTATTCCCAATTTTTTTTAAAAAAAATTACCCGTTACGAAAATTTTGAAATGAAATTACACCATTATGATAAATAAAAAAAAAAAAAAAAAAGCCTCATTTCAATCATATTCTTTATAATCTCATCCTCATCTCTTACATTTTCCATTAAAAAAATATTGGAATTTTCAAACTTGTAAAAAATACAAGTTGGAAGTCGGATATCTTGTGCCAAAAATCAAGGTAATAATATATAAAAAGGTAACAATATTTTACATATTTTTCTCTCTCATTACAACTCTTCCACCGAAGGAGAATATGTGTGATTTTCACCAACTAAATGTAGGCTTTCAAATACACATCGATATTTTCTTTGAGGGGAATACACATCGATATTTAAGAGTATTTTGAAGTATCAAATTAGTTGAATTCCATCTTGTAGGAACATTTAGACATAAGCCACTTAATGCATTAATGTCACCAGTATTTTCAATGCATTGCTTGAATTTCATCATTTTACTCCTTAATTTTATGCAAAACATGGGTGACTATCTTTAATCCTTCTTGAACAATCAAATTTAGAACGTATGTAGAACAATGTACATGAAAGAATTCACCATCAAATAACAACAATTTTTTTGTAATGCAAGTTGACTTTTTAAAGTTTTCTACATAACATTATTAGCAGAAAAATTATCCAAATTGATACAAAAAAAAAACTTCTTTTTATATTCCCCAATTATGAAAAAATTCCTTAACTTTCTTAGACAACTCAAAACAAATGTGGGGGGAGGGGGGAGACATATGACAAAAGTTAATAATTTTTCTATTTATTTTCCAATTTGAGTCAACAAAATGAACAACCAAACTTATATAACCCTTAATATTACAAGATGTTCACAAATAAGAAGTTAAAGGTATTATACTATAAATAGAAGTCATTTTTTCTTTCATCTTTGCCTTCTCTTTCATATATTTTTTTAAAGAGCTTGACCTTGGTAGTATTTCTAGAAAGAAAAAAAAATTGCATTAGAATTCAAAATAATGTATCCAAGTCCAAAGCTTCTTATTCTCAACAAGTTTGAAGGGTAAAGCATGTTTAATGATTAAAGATATACACAATTCATGTGATACCATTTGATTAATCTTTTTAGACTTCAATTTTTCTTGATTGTCTATCATCATTTGACCAATATCTTCGAATTTGGTTTCCTTACACTTTTCAAGAGGACAATTTAAAGGATGATGTCCCAATTTTTTTTACCACCAACTACATAATCTTTTTTACAAGCATTACAATTTGCTCGCTCATTTCCATCATCACGCACACCTATCTTAGTAAAAACCTTCCAATAATCAGATGTTGTACACTTAGACTTTTTCTTACTAAGTTCAAGAGATTGAGATTCTTCTTCAATATCCTCAATTTCATCATTCAAAAATTGGTTTACTAATTGAATAGTACATGCATTACTTAGTTACTACTTACTGCAACACAACTTAAATAATGCCAAAAAAATAGTCATAAATAAGTAAGTAATGTCTATTGGATTAATGCTAGGATTCAAAGAAAAATAATTTTTGCTTCGTTGAATTTCTTGCTAGGAACATACAACACCTGATCATGGTAGCATTAATTTCTATTATCATTTAGGGACTATTGCACACAACCTAATAAATAAATATACACTAGCTATGTTCTTACAAGTCTATTAAAAAGCACCTATACATAATATGCATGTAAGCTAGTGACAACAAGCCAAATTTCGGCCAAGTCCACAAATAACAAATGATCAACAAAGTGAGAGATTGAGAGCATTAATATATAAATATTAAAAAAATTAGACAACCAAGTCCACAAAATAAAGTCATTTTAAGAGACAAATTAATCAAATTATTCATATGCTACAACATTTAATCAAATTCATTTTTGAAGACAAAATCAAGTCATTCGATGTTGTGTAGTATATGCCCTAAAGCCTTCATTCGCAAGCAGCCCAAAGCATATATGCCCCTCACACAAACAATGCAATAAACAAGTAGAAGTTAGGTACTCACCTTGTCCTAACCATAATTTTGTGTGTCATTGCGGTGTTGTGTAGTGCTAATTAAGGTTCCCCAAAGGTAGAACAAAGAGAAGGCACAATAGAATGGAAACAAGTTGTGAACTTGTGGTGAGTAACTTTTTGTCTCAAAGGAAAAGTGAACAGAAACTTGAAACCGAAAGATTAAGATATCCCAATTTCTAATATTAGTTTTACATTTAGGATAAACATGTTATGTGTGAAAAAAATAAGTTGTTGTAACCTATGGGTAGACAAGCCAAGCTAGCAAGTTGGACCTAATCGGTTGGTGGGTTGAGTGAGAAGGGTTGGATGGATTGGTGGGCTCATTTCTCAAACCCAACTCACCAAAAAAAGACAGGTTGATAGGTTGACCCACCAAGTTCAACTCGCTTTGTCACTCTTTTATTTATTTATGAGTATACTATATCCACACATAAAATTTTGCATCACTTAGTATTGAGATTTGCATACGAATTATTAGTCTACATTAGCTTTCAACCGATCATGTTATATATTTTTATATTGCGAATTTTGCATTACTTAATTCCCATATCAACCATTAAACAAATTAGTGTGCTTGGTTATGGTTGAAAAGTTACAAATTCACGTACAATGGAAAAGATACAAAAGTTACATCTTAGTTTGGTATATTGGAAAGAATGAACTTCTATTTACATCAATGCAAACAATTTCTTAGACATAGCCTTAGTAGTTTGACGAACAAACGATTTAGGAATCCATTTTATACGCTTAATGTTTTGAAATATGAAATATGGAGACCAATTTACAAATGACTTGGTTATCAAATACCAAATAAAAAAATTGATCCATAAACGAATAAATTAATCAATTTTACATAATAATGTAATACTATATATTTAATTTTGACATTAGACTTCAGACAATATTATCATCATCATTCTTCAACCAATTGTATTAAACTTTTTATCTACAATTTCATTTTAACATTGTAAGCGACTTATGAGTGAATCAACATTGGTTATCAAATGAACAATCTATTCACTCCTAAAAATTTGGACCTTATGTACTCCCTTAGGTCGAGGATTGATCAAATTGTCTACTTAATAATCTCTTTATTTTTATTTAAAGACGTGAGACAAAGGGGTTGTGTATCCTCCTATGTTAAGGACCAACTAACCTCTTTATTTTATAGTTTTTTTTAATTATAAATTTTATCTAAAGACTTGAGACTGAAGGGTTGTGTGCCCTCTTAGGATTAGGGTCGATTGGTCAATTTACATAGGTAGGTGTTTGATTGATTGGTATCCTCAATAACTATTATTGACAGACTATTTTGTGATATACAACTATCCACCGAGGCTAAAATATAATAAAGTATGTCCAATAGATAAAGATAATTCATAAAGAAAAAAGTGTTTATAATGATAACAACCATATGTTAAAGACATTACACTGATATGTCAATTCTATAAAATATGCGATACACCAAAAAATAATGGTAGATCTGAGTTATTAGAAATAAGAGACGAAAAGATAGGCATGACAAAACACCTATATATTAGTAGGCAAATATAAGGATGGGAATAAGGTAACTAACGTATATGTGTGTCATTTAAGTTGCACCAACAACTAATTATGTGGTGTAGACTAGTAATATTGTAGGATAAACATACATGGATAGTGACTCACCACAATATTTGAAATGACAGTCCCTCTGCATAATCAAATGTTAGCCATATCTAGAAGACCACCTTAATGTATTAAGACACTTAAGACTTAAGGATAGTTCGAAACAATATGTGCATGAATGCATGACTATCATTATATCAAATATTCAACATCAAAACTTTAACCTTATCATGTTCGCATCAATTTCTTTTATAGGCACAACAATATTGTGCTCACCATCACACCATATCCTTCCACATGATGTTAAGCACTATTCAATAACTTACAATTAAGATTCAATACTTAAAAAATTTCTTAAAATTTTTTATCAACAAGTTCTTAGTATTCATTGTTTTCCACATTTGTGGATAACATGAGTCATTTAAGTTTTACGAAAGCTATTAATGTTACACATTTGATCTTATTTGTTTTTTATATATGTAAATTTATTTATAACACCTCTAAAAATATAAAATTTAAATTATATAAAAATAGAGAATTACTAAAATATCCTTAATTTTCACAAACTGCATTAAACTTTTAAAAACACAAAATAAAATCAAATAAAATTATTTTGACTTAGAAATCTTATAGCAATCTATTGCAACCATACAATACTTTTAAAAAAAATTTCCCATAATTTCAAAAGATAACGTTGAGATAAAATTATTTTTACGCCTATAATTATTTACTTGACTATAATAGGTATAAAATAGACAAATAATTACTTTTAGATTCTTTTTATCATCAAAATGATACAGATAGGATGACATGCTCATGACTAATAGACAAGAAATTAATGACATGTTAAGGATTCTCAAATTAAGTACTATTGTTCACTTTTTATGGATAGCAAAAACCATAATAAGTGTCCAGTTTAATTGAAGAATTTACTTGTCAAACTAATAGACAATAGAGATCCACTAGAAAACTCAGTTTCTACCTCTAGCACTAAGAGTTATGTTCACCAAGTAAAATTTTAATGGTTTCGAGTGAACCCATATCATGAGAGATGCGAACTCGAACCCGATTTCTAACCATTTACGCCAACCAACTTGACAATTACATTTAGGTCTAGTTACTCATATAGAAAAGTTATTTGTATTGATTAAGGTTTGAAAATTTTTGAGGTTCTTATCAATTAAAAAAAAATCTTTGTTAAGACAAGTTAACAATTGAAATAATGATTTATAAGAAAATGATTTTTATATTCCTTAGATTAGATCAACCTATTTGAATTAGTACAAAATTTAGAATGACAAAAGGTAAAAGAGATTATATTTATGACACATAGAATATAACAACAATCCAAGATAAAAATTACCCAACTTGACTTATTGTTAATCAATCACATGATTTACATGTATTGATTTTGTGTCTGCTACTAGTTAAGTTACCCAAGCTAAACAACCTATGCATGTCAAATGGACTGCTCCATTTGATGAGTTTGTTAAGATCAATGTGGATGGAAGTTCCCTAGGAAACCTAGGATCATCTGTGTTTGGTGAACTGCATAACTCCTTAGACCAATGGATGGCGGGCTTTTTGAATTCGTGTGAAAATACTAATTGATAAGTGCTATGATTTCATTAAGTTTATGGCCTAGTTTGAAGCACTTATATCAATTTTCCTTGCTTTAGACTTTGTTTTTAACTCAAAACATATCTAAATTGTTAGGTAGTCACATTTTGTTTTTGAATCATGTTTTTAGGTATCTTACAAGTATTTGGTTGTTGTTTTGTAGTTTAGGAGAAAGCTAGGAAAGAAGGAAGGAAGTCAAGCACAAAGTGGTGAATTTGAAGTTGAAGGAATTTTTGGTTAAGTTCCCAGGCTAAGCCCCAGATCCACGCTTAGCCTCAGCATGGCAGAGAATCCCTGGAACAGAATTTTGATTCCCACGCTGAGCATGGAACTGAGGCTTAGCGTGGATTGTGCTGACATGTCATTATTCACATAAGACAAAAGCTTTTATGACCTAAAAGTGGGATTTTCGAGGAGAGAAGTAAGGAGGATCATTCTTGGACTTTGTGTGGCGGCTGGAGAGCTCTGGAACCTTCAAGATCAAGCTTCTTCCTTTCTTCATCATTTGTAGAGTTCTACATGTCTATGTGTAGCTAAACTCACCCTTGTTGGGGTTTGATGTAACTAAACCCATTCTCATGTGTAAACTCTAAGCTATCAATCTAAGTTGTTATTCAGTTTTATTGCTCTTTTTCTGTGCATAATGCTTGTTATGGCTTGATCACCCTTAACTTGAACTTAAGGTTTTTAAGAGATTGAGAAATGATTTTAAACCTTTGACTTGAAATAGAGCAGCTAATGGTGCTTATTGCTAGAGATAGAGTAAATGCCATTGGTCTTTCTTAAGCTCTTGTTTTTAAAGCTGGTTTCTAGGTTAAACTATGCAAGAGATTGATAGTTTAAGCTAGTAACTTAGATGCCAACTTGTAAGAGATTAGGGTTGGTTACTTTTGAGAGTGATTGATAAATTTTGAATAATAACTATTGTGAACTTAGTGATAAGCATGAGAGGAAGGTTTAGTGAAGTCAAACCCCAACAACTTATTAATATTGCATTAGAATCAAGTTTTGCACTCTAAGTGTTTACCAAAATTCCAAAAAGAATTGTTATTGCTTGTTTACATTATTTACTGCAACAAATCAAACTCTTATTGCTTTTCGGTAGCTTAGTTAGTATAACAAGTGAAATTGTAAAGTGTTGTGCAAGTCCCTTGGGAGACGATACTCATACTTTCATTGATATAAGTGCTTCAAACTAGGCCATAAACTTAATGAAATCATAGCACTTATCACTAATCTTATTGCTAAATAACATGCAGTATATAATGGTTTGCAACTTGCTTGAAATTGTGAGTCAGAATCTTTAATGGCTCTTCAGCTTGTCTTGAAAGGTTAGATTGATTTTCACTTAATTGTTGTAATTATTAAACACATTCGTTACTTAATCAACAAAGAGTGAAATGTTACTTTGTCTCATTTATAGGGAAGGTAATACCTTCTTCTCCCTTCATAATCTTACGTTTCGTCATTACACCATTGTAACTTTAATAATGTTGTCGAGTTTTTAGGATTGTACCTTCACCATTTGCATCTCTCATTTGTTTAATTTACTTCTGAATAAAAATTTCATTTGGTATAATTTCAAGAACAAGTTTAATCTTCCTCCTTTGCGATTTTTCTTCACAATTTGTTTCTCAACATGTTTTTTTCTTCTTCTTTCCTTTATACCCTTCAATTTATTATTTGACAACTCAACAACATTTACATGTTGAGAAAAAGGACATCTACCATTTTCCATCACAAAATATAAAAAAGTAGTCAACTTTCTTTTAAAGCTAAGCTTTTTGAAAGTCACTTGTTTTTGCAGAATCGATTTATTTCAGAAATTACTATGTACCTATAAGTTGATAATTGTGACTCGAGGTTCTAACCAATGTTTGTAGAATTGACAATAAAATTATCAAATTCCTCACATCTGCATACGTATTTTCTTCTTGAAACAAATAATATGACTCAAATTAAGGGTGATACAAAAGTTACTTCCAAAATACTTTTAGTTAGACTTGAGTCTACTACAACTTGGAATTATATTTTCCAACACACATCTAACCAAGCAATATCTATATATGTATATAATAATAAAAATAATAAAGAATATTACAAACAATCATCGAATTAAGTGGGCCAGTAACAATATAATTGATTTCTGACAACGGCTATTCCAAACACAGTGCACGCATCTCGATTCTTGAACCATTTATTTTTCACCATTTGAACAAATTATCAAGGATTTTTCACCTTTATTCTCAACTTTCGAGCAATTTGTGCTGCTTTAGGATGACTAGGCCGTTTGTTACTACGGCACTGTTCTACCTCCACCCAATTCATAACTTTCAGTAAGAGAGACTGAGGAACTTTCCTCACATCCCCATCTGATGCATCCTTTGTTTTCTTCAAACCAGTTTCCAAGGCCTTCTCAATGAATTCCATAAACCAATTCCCAGCTTCTGTTTCAACCTGCCTTCCCAGTTTGATTGTATTGCTTAAGCTGCACGATCCTCCTGGTTTCTTATTCTCATCATTTTCAACAATAGGTTCTAGAGGCATTTTTGTAAGCGGGGTAGAACCTTTCTTCTCAAAAATCTCCTTTTGGTTTGCACTGGATCTTAGCAGCCTCCCCATGTTTGCTTTGTGTTCATGCTTTTCAGGAATGGAAGCCATTGACTTGTATAAAGCACCCCTTCTTTTGGACAAGTTTGATTCAGTGTTCCCAGATTGGTCCATGCAATTGTCCATAGCCTCATGCAAAACCTGTGGTTCTTGTTTATCTGATTTCTGAGCCAATTCTGAAGCTGAAGTAGCACCTTGAATGGACACCATTTCATTAACTGCTTGCACAATGTCGTTATGGAATTCCAAAAACCGTTCAAAACAAGTCGCAGGAGCATCAGGTCGAGCTGACTTGCATAAATTTGAGAACATCCTGAATGAAAACAAGCACAAAAAAAAAAAAAAAAAAAAAAAAATTCTATATCAGTTGCTAGTAGAAAAATTCTAGGAGAAATATTTGAGAAGCTCAATTAAAACAGAATGGAATTGGAAAGAATAATACTTGAGGGACCGAACGACTGTCTCAGTAGCTGAAGCATCTCTTAAAGCTTGAAGGGCAATTTTCTGAGCCACTTCTCTTTGCTGCACGGCTTCCTGTCAAGCAAAACAACAAGTATACTCCTGTTCAATCATTGAAGAACAAAAAAATAGTAATAAATTTTAAGATTTTACCTTCCCCAGCGAGCTCAGCTTTCCTGGTAAATTCACGGGGAGGCTAAGATTGTTGCAATTATCAAAAGCTGAATTATTAGTAGACTGAGATTGAGGTTGAGAAGTGGCATTCATGTCCATGTTTTGATTGTGACCATTTGCATCCCCAGAAGAGGCTACCACTCTTGCATTTCTCAACCGCGGTGGTGGAGTGACATTCTTCTTTTCCTGCACGTGAAACTCACCACATTCACACACAAAAAAAGGTCTACGACTAACAAATACTGCATTTTTGCATAAACTACTCTATGATAGGAAAATAAGATGCTGAACTGCCCTTTCTCATAACCTAAAATATACTTTTTTGCCTTTTGAAAAAGTTACACGTGAGTGCCTCTATTTTTTTGGTTTCACACGGTTATCATTCTTACAGAAAATAACCCTGTTTGAGCTTACATTAACTCCGAACACCTTTCCTAATTAAGTACTTTCATAAAAGTCAAGTACATAAATTGATTTTAAGTAACAAAGGAGTTCCATTCAATTCACCTTCTAATTTAGCATAAACTACTCTATAAAGCTAGACAAGTGCCTCCATGGCTCCATCTTTGGTTGTTGCTTCTGTAGATACGGAGAGAGAGAGAGTTGATCCATGTTTTTATTTGATTCCAAACACACTCAATGTAGACACCTCTTTGGACATATATTTATTACACACTAAATACAAAACACCTACATGTGTATTAATAGAAGTTAAGTGCAGGATTTTAAGTTACAAAATTGACCATCTTAATTGAATTTCTTCTACTACAAGAAATTCATGTAACCCTTTGAAACATTAAAAGAGGAAGAGAAAAATGTACCTACAGCTGACTTGAAGGGAGTAGAAGGGACTCTATGTTCCCGTTCAGAAACACTCCTGCTCCGAGAAAACTTGCCATTAGAACTATTGGTCACCACACAGCTTTTCCGAAGCAACGCAGGGCTCTCTCCTTTAGCATCAGTCATTCTGGCACCACCAACAGAACACCTGACACCAGAAAACGGAGTCCCAACAACCTTCCCTCGGAGCAACGGCGATTGAAACCCTCCGTTCTTCGCTTTCACAGGGGTACACTGGTCAAAGTCCAAATTAAGCGGCTTGAAAACCATGGGAGACGAAAGGCCATCATTGGTGCCCCAAGAGCCTCTGCGGGGAGCGGAATTGGGCCTGAGGCCCATTAAGGGCTCGGGCGTGCCGACGAGGGGGTGCCTCCCGGGGAGGGGCTTGGCGCCGCGGAGGACGGGGAGCGGAGAGCCGGGGTCGAGGCGGTCGACGTAGATGAACTGGCCGAGCTGCATCTTGTTGCTGAGAACGACGTCGTCTTGGTCGGAGGGGAGAGAGGCGTAGATGGAGTGGGAGGAATCGGAGACCTTGATGAAGAAGCCTTGCTTGGGGATCAAATTCTTCTCGTCGAGGTCGGCGGGGACGATGTCGGTGACCTGGAGGAGGGAGCTGCGGTGCTCGCTGGTGGGCTTGACGCCGGTGTTGAGAGCGTTGAGGAGCTTCATAAGGATTCCCGGAGCGAGTGCTGCCATATCTTAGTTTAGGGATCAAGAAAAGAGAAAGGGATTGGAGTGTGTTCTTGGACTAATGAGTGAGTCACTGAGTGAGCCAAACAAGTGGCCGTTGGAAACGGTAAGTAAGTAAGGAGGGTAGGGGGTAGGGACAATGCTTTTCGAAATTCGTAACTTTTCGGAACGTTGGGACTAACGGTCCAATTTCATGCCTACGAAACTAAGATAGCCAAATAAGAATAATGGGCTTAATTAATCAAAATGGAATGTATGTTCATACATTTGTTTCTCTTTTAGTTTTAATTGCTTGAAATTGATATTAATGAAACACGAGATCAAAAGGAATGTTAGTTTTACGTAAATGTTTTCGTATAATTCAATAAATAACATACTTTATATATATATATATATATATTTGCTGATAAATATCTAACAAAATACACTCTATTCTTCTTCAATGATTTAAAGATACACTTGAGAAATGATAAGTTAAATTATATTTTTAGTTATTTATTTAATTTTTTTTCATTTATTTTAATCTCTTTTTTAAAATGTTTATTTTAATTATTTATTTCTTAAATTTTTATAGTTTTATCCTTTTGAAATAATGAATAATTTCGATTTTAAAACATAATATTGAATTATTTTTTACTAATTCAAAAATTGAAACTTGTCATATTAGATTTAATTATATAAAAATTATTAATCATAACCGAAGTTCAAAATAAAGTGTTATAATTATGATAAAAATCGTATAAAAACAAGTCAAACAAATAATGGTAAAATTCAAAAAAATCAATTTCATATTATTTACTAGTTATTCATAAAGTTTATTTTTCATACAATTTTCAATATATTTATAATTCTTTTAAATTTAAATGTATTAAATTGCATAATTTTTCTATAGATAAATTTCATGTTATGTACTAAATAATAGAAAATTGATTCAAAATCGTGTCTTAAAATTAAAAATAGTCACTATTTTAAAATGATCAAATTAATCTGAATATAAAAATTATCAAAAGATTAAAATAAATATTTTAAAAATTAAATAAGCAAAATGAATCTAAAAATTAAGATAAAGGATAAGAAGATAATCAAGCCTAAATTGTAATGTTCAATAAAAAAATGAAGTTAGAAAAAAAAAAATTAGAGCTATTTGATTTTATTTTTTTATGATCAAGAAATATAAAGCCCGCTTGTTTAACTTTTTTCCTCTAAAAGAAAGTATTTTATTTTTTTTAATAAAAAGCACTTATTTAAAATTTAAAAATATTTGAGTAAACTTTTCCTTAATAATCAAAGACAAAAAATATATAATTATTTTTTTAGAAGCAACTGTGAGAGAGATACAATTTTTTTAATTTTTTCTTTTATAATTCTAACCAAACGCAAATCAGTTTATGTTAATATAAGAATTTCTTAAAATTGTTTCCCTTGTTTTAGAATATTTTTTAAGCTTTAAACAAGCCGACCTATACAAGAATTTGAATATTCTCTATCTTTTTTTTTTGTGTGTATATATTTATTGTCTATTACTAAAATTTTGAGTATACGTATACATTTATTTTTATGGTTGATACTTTTAATTTTTTTTTAATAAAACTACAGAAATATTTGTAAAAACTAAAAAAATAAAAATATTTTCAAGATTAGGAAACAAACAAAGGCCAAGTGTGAACGTTTTTGTTTTGTTTGTTATGTCTTACGACATGATTTTGAAAGTGTTAAGATGGACATATTTTAGATCTTGATAAGGTCAAATTCAAATGAATAATCAAAATTTCAAGTGATGAGAATAAAGATTAACACATCTTAACTCATTTTAACGGAACTAAATATGCAACAATTGCCATTTTCAATCATGTTCTTCCCCAAGGTTTCACCAAAGGGTAATCCTAACCTTCAAGTATTATTTGTTACTAATATTCTATCCGTTAATGTAAAATATATTATTGATTGGAGGTGGGGTCATGTCCTAAATAATAGTTGCAACTGCACCATAGTTTTAACCCAAAAGTAAAACGCGGACTTTGGAATATATTACGGGGCTTGTTCCTTATAGTCTGACAGTAACAAGGAGCCTAATGTTGGAATACTATTACTGGGCCATCCTTGTATGGTAGAAAAAACAGTTTGTTTTTTATTTTTATTTTTTAAGCCTAGAGAAAAATGGGATTAATCCATATACTTCCAAACTTCCAATATAAGAGAACACTTTATAGACAAAAACCCATCACTTGACATTTAGACACATCTAATTTAAAATAAATACAAAAATCATCTTAAAAATGGAAAACATGCAATTTATCTTCTAATTTGAATCTGATGATTTTAATTATTTGTCTACTTGATGTCAACCATCACTTCAACAAATTAATTGAAGCTTAAATTTCAGGTAGACAACCCAATATCACGGAAATACGCAGAGGTTAAATAAGCCAAAACAATTTATCAACAAGACTTCAACCCAAACGATAAAACAATTATTAAACATCCTATCACTTTATGCAAGTCCGTCCAACTTTCTGTACTCTACGTATAGATAGATACATCTCTGTATTCTGATTTGCATCATGAATGTTTTTAAGATGGTAAAGGCTTAATTAAAGCCACATGATTCCATGAATCATATGTTCACCTGGCTGGTGGAATCAAAACAATGGTGATCATGGAGTCTAGGATGTAGCAGGGAGTTGCTATATATGAGATGTATATAGATATGGACCAAAAGAAATTCATGATTGTCACAGAATGACAAATGCAGCAGATCATATGACATAATAAAAATTTCAATTAAAGGTTCGCGCAAAATAAAATCACTTCAAAAAATAGCGTACATTTTACATGGAAAATTTCCCCAAATTGAAGGGTTATCAATCGGCAATAGACCGATCTTTCCGAAAGCTCGAATGTAAATACAACTTGTAAATGTCAACAGGACAACTACGCATTTCTGACAGTCTCACAATAGATAGAGAAAAATTAATCAAGTTACATTATTAATAGCCGAATCTATTAGAAACAAGTATTGAAACAAAACCTGCACCTAATGATATGGTATCTGGATCAAAAAGCAAAGTTTCGTTTGCATGTTATAGAGGTGTTGCAAAACCTGTTACAATATAAAGTAAATGTCAGGGTTCTCTTGTAAAAAGGAGGTTTCTAAGGTATCCCAAATATTATGGTAACTTTAAATTTTTATGACTATATTCAACGATCAAATTCATGAAGCAGCCATCAAGTGGTCATTAATACTGCTTACAGGGTATGAATATCAACCTCCGGCAAGAGAGAATTAATACACCCAATACAAACATGACAAAGCAATCTATATACCAATGAATAGAGAAACACGACAATAAACATGAACAAAATGACATTTTCTTTCTAATTTATTAGAAAATTACAGTGGAAGACTTCAAAAGGTAATCCAATCAATTCTATATTGATCATGTAAGCTATAAAAGTATTATGATAGGCTACACAGAAAAAAAAAATTACAAAGCAACAACTTTTACTGGTATCTTTAGAATGAAATTAGAAACCGATACAAGACAACAAGAACTGTTGAGCAAAAGGAAAGAAGTACACTTCTTTCAAACAGAAACAAGTAGACCAAATATTAGCCTCAATGTTATTTATCCATAAACCCTATCCTCATCTGGTTAAACTCTATACCATATTGGGCCAACACAGTTAGAATGTAGCATAAGCAAATATTCTAGTGAAACCATGTCCTTAAGGTTGTTAGTCTTAGGCACTTGTCTCAGAAAATAAAAATAGAGTTAGGTGCATCCTGCAGTACTATTGCCAAACATTTTTCATAACACAATATGTAAGCTATTCTAACTCTATTAGGGGAGCTACAAAATATACAAGCTCTTCTAAGTTCTAACACGAAGTCTTAATTTAGTTAAATTAACATAAACTATTACTCCCTCCTTTCCTATATATAAGACCTAATTACTTAATTAATCAAAATTAACAAGTATTAATAAGTGTAAGTATTTACAAACTTATACTTATTAAGGAAGTAGAAGTTGAAAGTCGAAACATTCCCACCTAAGTATTTAAAACATTGTATTGAAGTCACACATGCTCTAATCGAATCAATCTGAGATTTAAACTCTTCTAAATTATTAGTTAGGAACTATTTCGTGAACCGCAGTTGGAAATGGAATTGGGATTAGTTGTTGTAAACCGATTACAACTAACTAAACAGAAAATAAATGCAAGTATCATGTCAAAGACCATTACCACTTCACTGCTCCCAGCCACAAGAAACAGCTAGTCTAGTGCTAAACTATGAAATGGACAAAACACACTATTTTAAAAAAGAAAAATTAGGCTCTGTTAATACTTACAGGAGAAAAAAGTAAGAATAAAAAATAAAATAAGTTTGTTCCATAAGCAAAAACATTTTACACACAAGTTAATGGAAGAAGCTAGCATGCGATAACTTCCACAAATTAAGTTATGCATAAGTTAATTTTAGCTCAGGAAAGAAATTTATTTCATACAAAATGGGCCAATATAGTTATGCTTGGATGATGAATACAGTATACTATCTTATATCTGAAATGCCAAAGCAAACAAAATTGCAATGTACCATCATGCCTATTCTTTATTACATTAAGATTAAATGCATGGTATTGACAATTGAAATGTTAAGAAAAATGGAAGAAGGATACCTTCGGAAAGACAACCCCAGTTAGCGTTGTGCAGAGAGAGGAGAGAAGTGAACAAGGCAGAGGCAGTAACACTATGCAACGGCGTCAACGACACGTGTGCACCGGCCAACTGCACAGGAAACCTAAACAGCAACCACAACAAGTATTCGCTTCAAATGCACACAAATATTCATCCATTTCAACATCTCAGAGTAGAGTGAAACAAAAGGGGGAAATCGAAATGAAATTTACCGGGAAAACGAGAGGGCGCGTTTCTGAGAAGAAGAAGAAGAAGAGGCGAATCCATTGAGCTTAGTGGCGTATGAAGAGGAAACGGAGGGAGGCGAAGATCTACGAGATAAGAGGGTTCTGGTGGAAGATGAAGCGATTTGGAGGGTTTTTCTTGCAGAATTGGCCGCCACCGCCATCTCTTGAGCTCTGCAACAAACACAACACTAAACACTTTGCAGAAGGGGAAGCCTTATGGGCAGTGGGCCTCTCTCTACACAGCCCAAAAGGCTATGTAAGGAATCACAGGCCCAAAACAAAGGAAGATGACAATGTTTCATACCTTTTATTTTTATATAATATAAATATTTTTAATAAAAAAACAAATATGCTAAACTAAAGATAATTTCGTATTTTTATTATCTAAAAGCAATGAATATATTGTTTATATACTTTTACTTATATATAACTAAACAAGAGAAAAAAGTTTTAACTTTTTTTTTTATATAATTTTTTTTACTAGCAAACTACTTGCAAAATTATTTCACTTCTACACCAATCATACATATATACATAAGAGTCCACTAAAACAAAATGGGAATAAGAATTTCAAACTCGTGAAGGAAATTGACCTTGCTATTCAATGTAAAAGTAACACCGTTATAGATCAATGGTGAACAGATATCTCACAGGAATATAGCATTTCCAAGTTCCAACTTACCCTTAAAAAATAGATAAAGTTCCAACTTAATTGCAAAGAGTATACTAGCCTTGTATATTGCCATGTGGCATTTTGCAGCTGTGTTAGATTTAGGAGATGGGTAGTTGTAGCATGTGATAAGTTTTTGTCATTTGGTGGCCGCTTTAGTGTTAAATCATTCCTTTATAATCAGATGCCATTATGGCAACTAGCAAGTTACAGAAACTGTGTTGCTTACCTTATGACTAACTGCTATTTACATGCTTAATAATCCCTGAATTTTTTTAGATTTTTTGTTTGTTAAGTTTCATGATTGCTATCTGGTTTTATGTTTGTCAATGGTGTATTTTCTGCAATTTTGTAATTAAGTGATGTAGATTTAATGACTCAATTTTGGGGAGGGGAAGTGGTATACTACATCCTTAACTTCAGAAGTGGTGTGGAAGTGTACTAAATTTGGCTATTCTAAATGAAAGTAGTTCACTTTAGAAGGAAAATTAGAGATATGAACCATTGATAATTTAATAAACACATGCATACTCACAGCAAGTCATGAATTTGTTAAAATCTATCTTCTTCTTTTCTTAACATTTATAATTGAGATTCCTCACTTTAGAGTAGTTAAATGCAAGAAGGGTGCAGAATTGAATAATGCAACTCTCACTTATTTTGTGTTTATATAAATATGCAAAAAGAGTTTTTCAACTTTGATCCATGTGCTTTTCTGTGATGCCACTATCGAATTGTCAATTGAGTTCAGTCTAGTACTGGTGTAACTCAATCAAGGGAAGGTTTTGTAGTGATATAAGAAAAAGGAATAAAATCACACCAGCCAATCCCACATTTGTGTTGACAATTCAACATCATGTAAGCCACAAAAATATTGACCTTAGTCAATTCTCTCTGTGCTTCACCATGCAGGGTCACTGATGGATAAACCATGTTCTCATGCTAATAATTGGTTCTTGAGGACCTCTATTAGAGTTATAAACCCTTCTTTTATTTTGTGTAACTTCTAGTTAGAAGGACACTATCACACTTATACTAGTGCTTGAAATTGCAGTATAAAGGCATAACAGCCGAAGCAAATTAAATATCAAGAAATTCACAAAGCAATCCAAATTAAAAGATGCTACAAAATTGTCAGGCTTTTATGAGAATATTTATGCTCACTCAGCACTACCGTTAGCATTCTTACTGCACATAGAAACAACTCTGCTCCTGAGTTAAACTGTTGTTTTATGAAATATTCGAATTCCAATATCAAAATTGTGTTATGCGTACCAAAAACAGAAAGAGAGCTTGTGCTGTAGTTCACATGAAACTTATGGATGTAGTGTAGTTACTAGTAATTGAAACATGTGACATGTACAGTTTTTTACCCAAACTACGAACCATTGCTCCTTTGTGTCAAGATTTTCAGAGATTCCAACGAAGTTTCACGTGAACTAGCGCCTTAACTTTATGAAAAACGCATAAAGCTCCTCGTGTCCAAGTCCCACATTGCTCGTATAGAAGAACTGCAGCCAAAACTTTTGCTAGAATCAAATGCAGTATATGTTGTCGTCAATTTAATGTTTAACTAGATATTCACTCGAAGATTTGTAAATAAAAAATAAAAAAAATCATCTACGGTGTCAAGTATTTTGTTACTATAATTGATCTTAGAAGTACTAGTTCAATCTTTGAAAATAAATATAATATAATTTAAAAATATTAAAAATATTTTAAAATAAATATTATAAAATTAAATAATTATAAATGAGTTAATCATCCATACACTGTCAGTGTAAAGTTTTTTACAATGACAACCAATCATATTTTTTAAATTATTTTATTTCATTTTTATTTCATTAAATAAACAACTGACACGACATTATTAAAATATATGATTGGTTGTCAGTGTAAAAAAACTTTACACTAATAGTGTATAGATGATTAACTCATTATAAATTTATGTGTTGAAAAGGAAAAATATAAGGTGTGTATGTTGAGAAATAGGGATGACAATGGGGCCCATGAGGGCGGGTAATAGTAAACTCGCTCCCGCCCCGCTGAATGAAAATTAGTCTCATACCCACCCCATATCCGCGCGGGTATTCATTAAGCGGGTATCCATGAATTTCTTGAATACCCACAGATATCCATGGATATTTATAAAATTTTTAAGAAATTAAAAAAATTATATTACAAATAATTTTAAGTTTATATGTTAATGTCATTGAAATATTAAAAATAAAAATTCAATGTTAATTTTGAACTTTTATTTAACGTTAATTTTGTTGAAATAATAATAAAAATTCAAGATAATCAATAACTTAAAATACATCAATCTCACAAGTAAGTTAAAGTCTCATAACAAAACTACAATAATTTAATCTCATAATTCCAAATGAAAGTAAATAACTTAAAATACATAAATCTTATTGGTCAAATCAAAGCTAGAAAATTAATCAAATTACATCCAACATAATTCTATAACATGTTTAATACATGTCGATAACTTCATCAACCTCACTTTTGTAAGAAAATAAGATGAGAGAGTGTAGTTTTAGGGTTATGTGGTACAAGGATAATTAGGATATTTAAGAAATAATATTAAACGGATCCCCGCGGGTATGGATATCATCATACCCGCCCCCGCCCCCGCCCCATTCATAAACGGGTAAAAATTTATCCGTCTCCATTATCTGCGGGTACCCAATTAACCTATCCATTTATTATCCGTAACGGGTTTTATCCACATATAGCCGCGGGTGCGGGTATTTTTGCCATCCCTAGTTGAGAACGTATATATTTGATAAAATTTAGAAAATAAAGACAGTTAAGATATTGTGGATGATACACCGGCTAAAGTATAAAAAATGTATTTTTTACTGAATAAAAAATGTATTTTAAAATATGAATTAAAGTAGTATAATAAAACTGGTTTTATCCTATTTTGAAATTTACAAATTTAAGCTTGTCTAAGTTGATATAAATCGTTCTATTAATTGGAAGTTGAGTTGATTGACTACACATCTAAAATAGAATTATTGGAGTGTAGATGACAAATTAAATGAATATAAAATGAGAAAATATATTTCTAAAATTTAAATGAATATAAAAAGAAAAAATATATTTATAAAAGTTGAGTTGATTTTTTTTTTTATAAAGATAAGAAAGATTACAAAGATGGTCGCAATGAGGATTAAACATAGATCTTCATTATTACAAATATTATTTATATTTATATTTGCATAATGAATAAAAAGAATTTTAAAAGGATTTATATAGTAAAATTTGATTATGATTTCAAGTATGATTTTAGGAGGAGAGAGGAATAATTAATAAAATGTTTATATGTAGATAATTAATGTGTTGTGTTTATGAATTTGTTTAGAGTTAAATAATACAAATTTAAAATTTAAATTATAATAATAAAACTGCAGAAAAGTTAATTTTTAAAAATTTTTACTGTCAAGTAATAATAATAATAATAATAATAATGAATTATTTTTTTTTAATAGGACTCATATAGTTGTATTTAATTAAAAGCTAGTTTTGTATGTGAAAATTTGACGCAAAATATAATCTTAAAAAAGTTAATATGATATAAAAAAACCGTGCTTTTAAATACTAACTATATTTATATTTTTTTGATTTAATTGTTTATAATAAATATAAAGAGTGAAATTATTATATAAAAAAAACATACGAGTACATTTATTTACTTTATAAAATTATTAAAAGAGGAGCATAAGATTAACAATTCTGTCTTTGAAAATTAACTAATAAAGAAATAAAAGATGTGAAAAATGTAATGCTCTATATTACTTTGTATTTATTAGAAAGAAGAAAAAAAATATATATATATATTTAGTATAAAACACTTATTTGAAAAAAATTATAATTAATTTGCACAGAAAAGTTTTAAAAAAATAATCTCAACTGTTTAAAGTAGTAATTCCGATATTCTTATTTTTGTTGGTCTATTGTTGATAAGTACATCTCCTTCACACCTGAACGCATGAAGTGTATCTAAGAAAGATGAGATATATAAATAATATAATGATTATTAGAATTTTAAGTTAGTGTGAAATTACTTTATTATATAATTGATGAATGTAATTGTGATAAAATCTAGTGATGATAATTATTGTAACATTCTAAAAATTGAATTATTTTTTTATTTATCAGAATTATAAAGATAATAGTATAGTTTAAACTTAAGATTATGTACATTTATTACTAAGTCAACTTTAGTGATTTTTTGAATAATGGCTAGAAAGTGAATTATTTGAATTATATTAATTAAAAAATAATTAAACACTACTTCCGTTTTTATATATGAGAAATAAATATCTAATTTATTAAGATCAATATATAAAAATTGTTAACTTTATTTGTTGTAATTAATAATATCATAATTTAAAATTTTATTTTAAAAATACCTATAAAATTAAATAGTATAAATATTAGTTAAATTCAATGATGTTAGTTAAGAGTCAAAAATTAATTAATGATTATGAGTTATAGTGTTAATTGTCTAATAGATACATTCAC